CCGGCCTGCTGATGGTTTGATTGCTGAATGATTGATTTGGATGCCCATACTGTGTGTAAGCAACGGCTGCTTCCGCATATGTAACGATTCCTCCCTAGTGTAAAGCCTTTTTCTCAATCTGTGCCAACGATTTCTCCCCAGCTAGTGCCCGGGATCTCCACGACTCCACATAGGACGGCTGCTTCTTCCATTTTAAATGTAAGTGGTTCCAATATTAAAATTTGTAACAAAATTATAAGCACCTCTAACGCTCTTTAGAGTGTTTGTTTATTAATTCGTCAATCAACTTTTATTCTAATTTCTATTCAACTTTCCTCCATCACCTTCCTGGCACCAACCATTTCTTATTTAGTGTTTTTTCCCACCCGAGCGTGCCCGCGAGGCACCGTTTGGGAGAATTAGCACCCATGTGATGACATAGGTGACAGGTTTTAATAGAAAACCGGGACAAATATTATTAGTTTTGTTTTTCAAAGAATCGGAACCTATAATATATTAAGTGTTGGTTTTTTTAAATGAACTGGCACCATAAAAACCAAGCCGAGCCAGCATATCCTTTTTCATCCACCCATGCACCCACGCCTACCCATCCTCTCTCTTGACGACTATGTCTCTCCATTCTTATCCCTACCCTTCGCCATCTCTCTCTCTCAGCTCGTCTCCAACCTCCTCCCCTCGTCGAGCTCCTCCCCGACTATGCATGTCTCCTCCTCTCTATTTGCCGCCCCTCTTCCTACTCCTCCTCTACCATACGTCACGGTCTCGATTGATTCCTCCTCCTCCACCACCGGACAGTGATGGCGAGGAGGCCGAAAGCTGCGGCTCACCAATGCCCGGCCACAGGATCCGGTGGCGTGACCGCATGACTGCTAGGACGACTAGATCCAGCGGTGACGGCGATGGAAAAGAAGGCTAGATCCACAAATCCCTCCTTTTGTCTCCTTTCCAATCAGCACCCTGAAGCAGTGGCATCGACAAGGCACCAAAGTCCGCCGGTGGGAGCCCTTGCTCCGTCACCAGCGACTACAGTAGCGTTACCAGTGCCAGCTTCAAGGGCTCCACTCAGCTTGGTCCTCCACTTGTCGCGAGCCCCACAGTCGTGTTTGACGACCTCACTATAGCCTCCGCATCTGTCGCCTGAGCGGAGGCCATGGAGGAGGCTCTTGGTGCCACCCTGCCACCCATCACCACCACCTCTCAGTGTGTTCTCCTCTGCTGATTTTGTGTATGTGATTTTATTCATCAATGTTTATTACGTGATTATGTTCTTGAATGGGGATGATGGGGATCTCAGGGGATGCTTCTTAATTGGATGGGGATCTCAGGGTGATCGGGAAATGCTTTATTCAAGCCAATCATCGAGTCATCTTTGTTTTTATTCCTGGAACCTAAGAGGTACCGTTTAAGACCAACACCTTTGATTCCCCCCATCGCTGCCACCCGATTGGTGTCGGCTAGAAAATCCGGTACCTATGGGTTTTCCCAACCGATACCAAAGTGCATTTATGTAGTAGCGTATAGCTTTATCCTCTCGTTAGAGATATTTATTTCCATGTGATTGTTAGCCGGTAAACTGGAGAAAATATATAATCAAAAACATACATATGATGGAAATATAGAAACTATCATAAAATAAAAAAAATAGACATTTGATATTTGTTCACGTCACTATGAGCAAAACTTTTACCCCTAGATTTAACTATGAGTAAAAGTTTTATATCCTACGTTACTTTTGTATAAGAAAGATTCATATCTTATGGGTAACAACATTGATATAAAAAAGTTTTACTCATCATGATTTGGATAAATCTCAAGTGTTTGTTTTATTTTCTATTGTAGTTTTGAGTTTTAATTCACTGCGTATTTTTCCTGTCAAGATTGGATTTCAATCATTGAACAGTAAACGTACCTTAACTTGTACGATTAAACTGAATAGTTTCAGTAGACACGATCAAACTACTACTTGGCTCCTTGCTAAGACTTCCCCACGTGTAAACCTCACACTAGCGCTTGTATCTACAAAGTCTTTATTGGAAAAAAGGTTGCAAAAAGGACACCGGTACCTCCAAAATATCAGTGGAAGTTCTTACGTAAGCTCAATTATTACGGCTTTGTTTGGCACTACTTTAAATTTTACTCCAAACCAAATTTTAAATTTTTAGATTGTTTTAAGTGATATTTTTGTCACTTTTGATGTCTAGCTCTATTTTCAGGATTGCTGAGAAGATAATTTTAAAAATATAACTAAAAGTTCTTTAAAAAAACCAAAATTTAAAATCCAAAATTGCTTTCGAATATAATAAAGTTATGCCAATTGTTGAAAATACATGCAATTTATTCAAGTGATTATATGAAACTTCTCTACAAATAATTGAGGCCATTAGTGCGAGGACGGAGGTTTCCCTAACAAAAAATTACAACGAAGTAGGAAGGAGAAAAAGAAATTTAGGCTTATAAGCATATTTCCCGAATAGCTAAACAATGTTATTTTTTCAAAAGCTTTCTCTATATATAGAGATTCTTTTTTTAGAAGAATGAATAAATCAAATTTTGTATTTATAATAGTTAATACTTAATTTATTAATGACCCATCTCGATTTAAATGCCACTAGTAAGCTAAATCAAAACTCATATTCGAACAAAGCCCTACTGTTATATATGTTAAATATATACAGAAAAATACATCCAAAATGAGTGCAAGAGAACTCTTGGAAATCTATGATTTAAGAGGGTAGCAATATTTATGGCACAACATTTTAAAAAAAAGTCAAATCATTTTTACATTATAAATTACCTGGACTTATATTGTAATTATACCATAAATTTAGTACTATAATTATATATTGTAATTTTCAGTCATATTTCTAACACAAATTATATAAGAAAATTTGCATTAAAAGCACCGTTTTTTTGACAAATTGGTCCTTATAGAAAACTTATTTCGAAACTAGTCCATACCAAAAACTATATCTAGAAATAGGCCGTCGGCTCAGCGCCAACCTCTTTGGCGCTGAGGTTGTTCATATCAGCGCCAATGGGACTGGCGCTGACATCGCGCCAGCGTGGCGGGCGAGACGCGACGTGGCAGGGCCTCAGCGCCAATGTATTTGGCGCTGACCCCTTGTACAGGCTAATTAAAAGGATGCGTGGCCATTAATAAGCAATGCACTTGTGGTGCAATGGTATGACCATTTGCTTGTGTACCCTAGCACCATGGTTCGACTCCCTATCACGGCAGCCTTGTTCGTTCTTTTTTTTTTCTTCAAATCTTCAATCTACGTGCGTACATTAGTACATATAAATGATTAATGATGCTCTCTGTTTTTTAAATATATATATATATATAAATATAAATATCAGAATATATGTTCTACAGCGGCGCTGGCCTTTATACTGGCTAAATAAAAGCAAAAGCAAAAGCAACAATTAGGTTTGGCTTAGCTCAGTGGTAGGTATTTGAAAGGTGGCGTTACAGTGACCAGGGTTCGAACCCTCTCCTTTATGTTTTTACTAAACTTTTTTTTTTACTTAGTTCTCAACTTGCGGTTTTAACTTTTTCAAAGCTCAGGTATTTTTAAGTCCATTCTTTTATTTTTAAATATGTACTAAATGTGTTATTCCTTTTAAATATTTTTTTAAAAAGTGATATTTCTTTTACAAGCTCAAGTGTTGTTTTAATTTTAAAAAAACACGTGACATTTTAGAATAAAACTTACCCTTAGTTCTCAACTTGTTGTTTATTTTTTTAAAAAAAACTCAAGTTTTTTTAAATCCATTCTTCTAATTTCTTTTTTATAAAAAAGTGATATTTCTTTTAAAAGTTGTCTCTAAACTTTTTTTAATCCATTCTTCTACTTTTTAAATTTGTACTAAATGTGATATTTCTTTTTAATAAAAATTAATTTAAACAAAAAAAAGTACATTGAAGATTTGAAGACAAAAACGAAAATGGAGATCATCATTAATATGTACGCACGTAGATTGATGATTTTAAAAAAAAACAAAAATGGCTGACCTGGGATTCGAACCCTAGTCCTCAGATATAGCAAGAAAGAAACTTACCGTTGCACCACGAGCGACACCGTTAATTCATTGCCGCACATCGGTCTATTTAGGGTGTGCAAGGTGTCAGCGCCAAGTGCATTGGCGCTGAGGCCCTGCCACATCGCGCCTCGCCCGCCACGCTGGCGCGATGTCAGCGCCAGTCCCGTTGGCGCAGATAAGAACAACCTCAGCGCCAACCGCTTTGGCGCTGATTCGACGGCCTATTTCTGGATATAGTTTTTGGTAGGGACTAGTTTCGAAATAAGTTTTCTGCAAGGACCAATTTGTCAAAAAAACGCTTAAAAGCATTTGATAACCCACTTGAAAGAATAGATAGATCATGTACGATCCATACAAATAGGAGAGAACAGAGAATGTCCAAAATGTGGTGGCATATTTTCAGCAAAATTGATAATTGAATGTATCACAGACAAATGAAGTCGGATGCGTTATATATTGCGATGATGACACATCAATTTTTGTTTTCACAATATTAACCATTAATACAACTATCACTATACATAGAGATCAATTTGTAAAAAACTTGCAAGGCATGAAAATAAAAGTATCTTTAATTTGTCGACAGCCATGGAAGCTTTTGTTCGCATGCATATGCACAGAAATGAGCTTCCGACTTTGGTTTGGTCCAATTACTTTGGGGAAGGGAGAAGAACTTATGGTGCGGTGTGGATTCTTGGCTGTATGACTACCTATTAGAGTTTAAATTTTGTGTGTGTTGATACCAACGAATATTACAAACATGCAATCATATAAAAATTTATTCTTATGATTGTGGAGTGCAAGAAAAAAAAAAGAAATTAAATTTTAAGTTGCTTATTTGTGGAGTGATATATAACATATTAATACATCTTCTTATTTTTTTTACTTTTTATAACTATTTTAGTGACATATAAGCAACGGAAGAAGTCCTCGCGAGTTTAAAATGCACTGTCAAGTGTCAAGTCATGGAGGCAAGTGTACCACAGAACCAGCATCACAATGACAAACATAGAACCTTCCGACTTATTCTGGTGTGTTACTGTTACGTGTGCGTCCTCCGTGTAATAATTCTTTAAGCAAAATGCACAAATATAGCAAAAATACATATTATTTCTCAAGCCATGAGCACCTCGTCGATGAGCCTATCGATGTTGTGCACGGACCGGCCACCGGGCTTCGCCGCCGCGACGGCGCTCTCCCTGAGCTCCGCCACGCGCCGCCGCATCTCCCTCCCCTTCTCCCCGTCCATGGCCTCCCGTATCAGCGCCTCCACCTCGCCGCGCCGCACGTCGTCGGGGATCTCCGCCCCGATCCCCCACTCCGTGCGCTTGTACCTGCAGTTGGTCTGCTGCTCGGCGAAGAACGGCCAGCACACCATCGGCACGCCGCCGGCGATGCTCTCCAGCGTCGAGTTCCAGCCGGAGTGGGTGAGGAACACCCCCACCGCCTCGTGCTCCAGCACCTCCGCCTGCGGGCACCACGTCGTCAGCATGCTCCTCTCCCTCGTCGCCGCCGCGAACTCCGGCGGCAGCGCGGGGGCGGCGCCGCCGTCGCCCTTGACGAGGTCGGGGCGCAAGTTCCACAGGAACGCGTAGCCGCTGCCGGCGAGCCCCCACGCGAACTCCGCCAGGTGCTCGGCCGACATCACCGTGATGCTCCCGAAGTTGACGTACACCACGGAGCGCGGCGGCCGGCCGTCCAGCCACCGGAGCGCCTCGCCCTGCTCCTTCCACAGGTTGGACCCGACACCGGCGACGGGGCTGTCCGCCGGCACGTTGCTCCGCGCCGCCAGGTGGAGCGGGCCGACGGTGTAGATCGGCGGGAGCAGCGCGGCCATGGCGCCCATCAGCGGCGACGACGGCGCGTCGAGCTCGTCGAAGGTGTTGATGATCACCGCCTCCGCCAGCGACATGCTCGCCGTCACGTGGACGAAGAAGTTGAACATGATGTCGTCACGGTCCGTGCTCCGCACGAAGCTCGGGAGGTCGCGCAGCCGCAGGTCGCCGGTCATGCCCGGGATCCAATCCACCGTCGTGTCCAAGTGCCCATTGCTGAGGTCAGCCTCGCCTGCCAAAACACGTACAAATTTTTTAGCATGGATAGAGAATTGAATTAGGAAGTTCGCCATGGATGATCTACTTTTGAGGGGGAAGAGGCCGCGGTCGAGCAGGTGTTTGTAGTGGTAGTAGCCCATGAACCCGCACGCGCTGGCCGTCCAGAGCGTGGCGCAGCGGAGGCCGAGCTCCCGCGCGGCGTGGATGCCGAACGCCATGTTGCTGTCGGCGACGACGCAGGTGACGCGCCGCGCCGCGCCGTCCGCGGCGGCGGCGGCGGCGGCCTCGTCGTCGAGCTTGGCGAGGAGCGACATGAACCTGGGAAGCCAGGTGGTGCGGACGGAGTGGCAGAGGGCCGGGACGTCCTGGGTGGCGTCGGCGTCGGATGGCGGGAGGCCGTCGTCCATGGCGGCGAAGCGGAAGCCGGGGGCGCCGTCGAGCGCGCGGGCGCCGCGGGCGCGGAGGAGGCGGCGGTGGTTGAACTCGTTGTTGACGAAGGTGACGTGGAAGCCGCGGGAGTATAGCAGCTTCGCCAGCGTCAGCATCGGCGTGACGTGGCCCTGCGCCGGGTACGGCACCATCACGGCGTGCGGCCGCGCCTCCGCCGCCGCCGGCAACGACCCCATCTCGCCGCCGGCAAAAAAACAACGACGACTATCTACGTGTCAGCTCTGCACCGTGCGTTGTATATATATACTTTTGTGTGTTTTGTCATTTGTGTGGTCTGGTTCGATGCGGTTACACATATATATTGTGGCTTCAGCTGGTGCCTGGTGGATGGGGTCGGTGACGCTGACAGGTGGACCCTAGTGGTGACACGGCTGAGCCGCTAATTATTGAGGGTGGGGAGAATTTTTTATTTTATAAACCTTTTAATATTTTAATTTTATTAATAGACCATTCTCAAAAGTATTTTCAAGAAATAAACCTTTTGACCACGCCAGCCCGTCTGACATGGTTAAATAACTCTCTCACGTCACGTGTAGCTAGCATGGCAATACTGGTATGCCACGCCAGATACTTGTCACACCACTGTGGCTAGCTAACTAAAATATTCATTTCTTGAAATACTTTTAGAAATGGTCTATTAATAAAATTAATGAGGTCTAAAAAATAAAAAAAATTCGGAGGTGTGGGGGAAGGGAGTTGGGCCTGGAGATAAGTGCAGAGCGTGATAGCGATGTTGTGTTTTGTTTTTGTACGGCGGGATAGATGGATTGTTGGGATAATTTTTGGGGCCAATTTATGGGAGCTTTTGGAGTTATTTGGCGATGATATGGTGCATGTGGCCATGTTGGGTGTACTGGGATCGTCGGCTCGTGCTGAATGCATGCAGATGGAATATATCGCTGTATTATACTATCGGATGCGTATCGTGGCTGCCGGCCTCTCTCTATCAGATCAGGCCGTGGCGGCTAATTGCATCTACAATATGCACCTCTCGCGTGCAGCGCATTATTTAACGGTACTCGTGGAGTATCCTGTATCCATGATGTGCTCTGCATATAAAATGGCTGCACGAGCGGCCTGCGAGACGACTTCGCCCTAATATTTCGCCCCTGTCGCGCATCCACACACACATATATTCTTTGACGTAATACACACACACATACATACATATATATATATATATATATATATATATATATATATATATATATATATATATATATATATATATCCTATATAGGATACCCCTATGGGACTCCATGGTGCCTGAGCTCCAAGTTATAAAATATACAAATTCTCTCAAATTTTTTAAAATTTTCAAATTATGACTATATACCTAGGTATATGAATTTGATTCATACCAATACCTAACAAACAAAATAACTCAAACTCAACTTTATTTTACAATTCATTATTACATATCTAGCGAATTATATGTTTGGATGTTATATACCTAAAACCAAAATCTAACAAAAAAAAAGTTCAAACTCAGTTCAAACTTGTTTGAACTTGTTAGTAAAGAAGTTAATGTTCATAACTAAACATTTAAAAAAATTCATACTCATTCAAATTAGGTATATACTCAATTTGAATCTTGGAGCCCATACTCTATGGGCACCATGGTATGAAATACACAAATTCGTTCAAATTTTTCAAAATTTTCAAATTGTGAGTATATACCTAGTTGTAAGAACTGGATTCATACCTATACCTAGAAATAAAACAACTCAAATTTAACTTTATTTCATAATACAATATTACATACCTAACTAATTATATGTTTGGATGCTATATACCTAGAATCAAAATCTAACAAAAACATGTTTAAATTTAGTTCAAACTTGTTTTGAACTAGTTAGTAAAGTAGTTAATGTTAATACCTAAACATTTAAAAAAATTTCATACTCATTTGAATTGGGTATATACTCAATTTCAACAATGGTGCTCGGGCACCATGGAGCACCAAACAAATTATATATATATATATATATATATATATATATATATATATATATATATATATATATATATATAATACCGCACATGGGGTGCGTAGTAACTAAAATGCTCCCCTCACATCCCACACCCCCCACCTATACGTCATCTAGAACAAACCAAATGAATTAATATTTTTTTTTACCAGCGGGGTGATGATTGAGTAACTAGAAGTAAAGGTATTACTATCGGCACACGTGATGCTTCGGAGCCTTATAGTCTTCTGCTTAGTAATTGTTTTGAGTAATTCATTTACTTATGATCCAATTTGTGCTAGTAATTTTTTTACTCATGGTTCTTCTCGTGTTAGGATTTGTTTTACTTATGGGCTCGCAATTTTAATACATGAGCCTACCAGCCCAAGTTGTTCAGAAGGAAAAAAAACAAAAAAAAATGAACGAGAATAGAGGAAGCAATTCATTTACTTATAGGCCAATTTGTGCTAGACTCATGGATTTTCTCTTGTGTTAGTAATTGTTTTACTCATGGGCTCACAATTTAACACATGAGCCTATGAGCCCAACACATGGGCGGTAAAAAAAGGGGAGGGGAGGGGGTAGGTTGTGAGGGGAGCGTTTTAGTTGTTACACACCATGGATGTGGTTTAGTTATTTTTCCCTGTTACGAGCACACCCAGTTGCTCACATCTCATACATCCGCTACCTCATATGTGTTGTCAAGTGTCACACCGAGAAGGTCTGTCCAATTTCTTTCACCTTCAGCACTTCATCCGTCAAGTAAAACACAAAACAGTGTATGTCAAGTCAAATTAACATTAACCAAAGAGAATCCAGATTCCAATCATAAAGATAAAGGATATCTCATCAGAGACAGGAAAGGCTAATATTTTCAAGGTCAATTTGATGATCAAAAGGCCAATTTGTTATTTAGGGCTTAGTAAATTCTAGAAAGCCAGAAATTATTAGGAGCCAGAAATTGCAGCATGCACCTGATGAACACTAGTAGCAGTACACACACTCAGATACACAGATATTACATACTTAATTAATCCCCTGAACAAAGTAATTAAGGCCGGTGGGTGCATATATTTATTTGGTGTCTGCAGAGGGGAATTCGTCGGCGACGACGCGGAGCTTCATCCCGGCGGCGCAGTGGCCGGGGACGCCGCAGATGAAGTAGTTGACGCCCTCCTTGAGCTCGACCTCGGCGCTCCCGGCCGCCGTGGCCGCCGCGTCCGCCGCGTTGCGCACCCTGCAGCTCCGGTACTCCGCCGCGCTCGCCGCCACCACGTTGTGCACGCCCGCCTGGTAGTTGAACACTGCACACGCACAAGCGAAGCTACCGGATTAAACTAATTCTCTTGCATCTGCAGATTGATTATACATAAAGAAGCCGGCTACCAGAGAGTAATAATCGTTGACTTCGTTTTCATTAATTTGTGAAGAGCGCGCTCCCACACACACCCACACGTTTGTATTGTTAACTCCATTTTGTTTGTGTGAAATTTTCGTACTGTTTAGCAATAATTACTGAGACACTTGAGTGTAGAGAGAGAGGAGTCGATATATATATATATATATATATATATATAGGACACTCATATGGGGCACCATGGTGCCCGGGCACCATGGTATCTAATGCACAAAATCACTCAAATTTTTCAAAATTTTCAAATTGTGAGTATATACCTAATTATAATAATTTGATTCATACCTATACTTATCAACAAAACAACTCAAATTTAACTTTATTTCACAATCCATGATTACATACCTAACTAATTATATGTATGGATGCTATATACCTAGAATCAAAATCTAACAAAAACAAGTTCAAATTCAGTTCAAACTTGCTTTAAACTAGTTAGTAAAGTAGTTAATGTTAATACCTAAGTAATTGAAAAAGTTTCATACTCATTTGAATTGGGTATATACTCAATTTCAACAATGGTGCCCGGGCACCATGGAGCACCAAACAAATTTACTATATATATATATATATATATATATATATATATATATATAGCCATTTCCTCTATTTCAGATATAACATTTTCTAGCATTATCTATATTTATATACTCCCTCCATCCAAAAAACGAATCTAGTTCTAGTTTGGTTTTTTATGGAACGTAGGGAGTAGATGTCACTGGTGGAGAAACCCTTTGTAGTCCCGGTTCGTAACTCCCCTTTAGTCCCGGTTTTCAAACCGGGAGTAACAATCCGGGACTAAAGATCGCTATCTTTAGTCCCGGGTGAAATAACCGGGAGTAAAGATCTATCTTTAGTCCCGGTTGGTAACACCAACCGGGACTAAAGATCGAGCTGACCTTTTTTTTTTTTATGGCCCTGTTGCTGCATGGTTTATATATATATATATATATATATATATATATATATATATATATATATATATATATATATATATATAAACCATGCATATATATGTTTCAATACATATATATGCATACATATATATATGTATATATATATATATTATATTATATTATATGTATATACATGCATAATATATATGTATTTATACATATATATGTTATGCAAATGCATATGTATATAGATATATATATGACCAAAATATATTTACATTATAGAAAATGTGTACACATGCATATAGAAACATATGTAGTCATGTATTAATTACAATCCATTATATGTCCTAGCTAGCTACGATTTCGACGTAGTAGTACTCGCTGCTAGCTCAGAAGCTAAGGACCGGTGAATTATGTTTCCGTCGTAGTAGAATTCACCCTTGGGATCAAGGATTTCTTCGTTGATGAATCCCATGAGTTGTTCTTGAACCGCCGCGATAAATTCCTTGTGTGTGGTCAGGTTATCCCTCATGCGAATAAACTATATGAATGTATGAAATTGATTAGTAATTAAACAAGAAATCGCTACGTAATGAAATTTTGAATTTATTTGTACGTACATCGAGCTCTCTTGTGGTGATGATTTGGTCTGCAAGGCAGTGGCAATACTCGCACACGTAATAGCCGCACAAGTTAGTTCCCTGCTTTTGCTTTGCGCACTACAAATAAATGACAAACAACGAGAGATCTAATTAATATACACTTGTATGTATTTGAATCGGAGAAATATAAATGTAGAGCATGTGTACTCACAGGAAATTTGAACTTCCGCCTAAGTCTTTCTCTCCATTTGCCGCGGACCAAATGACGGAACCGATACCAAGCCCTACATGGAGTTTAAAGCTATGATTCGTAGTAGCAATTAACATAACAAGATTTTCTTAATTAACAAAGGAACTTATGACGGTACCTGTCTATAAGTTCGAAAACCTTGTCA